TCTGAAGTTTATGTCAAACATAGTCCTGAAAGGATTGACAGCCTTAGACTTGACAACAATAACAACCGTGACTTAACATGCTTTATCAATCACAGTAATCTCAAAATATGAATACAACAGAGACCAACGTTCATGGAATGCAGTCCTGAAATGTTAAGTCATATAAATTTGTTTATCAGGCAGACCGTCTCCGTGGTCGAGGGGTTAGAGTCGATGACTTCTAATCCAGTTACCTCTCTGGCGTGGGTTCGATCCCCGGGAGATGCTTTGGTAGTTTAGCGCGGAGGAAGGTAGTCTAGTACTGGTTTAACTCTCCAGGAACGATGGTTAGGAAACTACCCGCCTATATGACTGAAATACTGTTGGAAAAAGGCGTAAAATAAAACAAACAAAAATTCAACGAAAACCGGTAATTGTTATGCCGAAGTCGTCAGGCGGGCAGGTGAGCGGACGTCAACTTTTGGTTTCCGCCCAACTTGAGTTTGCTTTTGCCTATAGACATCAAACTTTGTGTGTTTGGGTAGCTTATATCAAGAGGTAGCGTAGGATTGCTCCCCAGGTGTTTGTGATCAAGTTCACTGCTGCTAAAAATAGAAATGAAATTCAGTTTTCGCTCAATAGTTCGAGTTTGCTTTGGCCTATTGACAACAAACTTGGTGTATGGGTAGTTTTATCAAGAGGCATATTGGGGTTGCTACCTTGGTGTCTGTGATTTAGGTCAAGGTCACTTTTGCACAAAAATAGAAATTCAGTTTCCGCTCAATCACTTGAGTTTGCTACGGCCTATTGACATCAAATTTAGTATGTGGGTAGCTTATATCAAGATGCAACTTTGTATTGCTACCAAGGTGTGCGTGCACAACGTAAAGATCACTGTTGCTTAAGAAATAAACTCAGTTTTTACGTGATAATTTGAGTTTGCTTTCACGTATTGACTCTAAACTTAAATTAGCTTATATTAAGATGCATCTTTGGATTGCTATTTAGATATCTAGGAGCAAGGTCAATGTCACTTTTGTTGTCAAGTCTGGAAACTGCTGAGCTTAACAACAAAACCCAGCACAAAATACTGACAGAGACTCTCAATAATAACAAACAACACATTCATAATAAAGTATGTTCTCAATAGCATGACCAAGAGCTGTCAGAATTAAGAGAGAAATACCCTAGGTATCTGATGTTTTATGGGCAGCAAGGCATACTTATATTATTTTCAATGTCTGTCCCATTCGTTCTAAACCTTAGAAGTGCGTGGTAACGTATCTTTAATCTTACAAGCATTTGAGGCCCTCAGAAGAAAAACAGTGTCAAGATATAGCAAATTATCTAGCACGTTCGTCCATTGTTTTTCTTGATCTGATAATAGCGCGGAAATGCTGTTGACTTTGTAATGTCTAAAATAAAAACTTGTAAGAACATGCCTTTTGGAATTTTGTTTAAAAATATGAGAAAACATGATTGCAAACGGAGGCTAAAAGTCATGAAACCCAGCAACTTAATATAAAATTTTGTGGCACAGGGCACCCCTAGGAACACCAAAATGGAATTTGACATATAAATAAGGGTGGTGGTGGCATTATAGAAGGAAGAGGGGTATTATATCAATTTTTGATACATCCCGAAGGTAAAGAAAGGTTGATGTTATTTACAATAATGAGTTAGTGTAACTTCTAACTAGATTAGTCTTGAACGTTGATGTCAAGTTAGCAGTTAATCAATCAAAACCAATGCGTAGTGTTTAAAAGCAGTTATTTCATCAAAGGTGTATCAAAATCTTAGCCTGTAAACTGCAAATTTCTACAAAATTATCATTCCATATCAACAAATGGACAGTCATGTTCTTTCATATGAAGAAAAGGGATAGTTTTGAATGAATTTATTTTCTGTAACGCATACTTTGACCAGAGACATAGATAACATCTACATCTCTGCTTTGACAAAATGTACATTATATAATTATGTCTGCCAGGTTTTCGTTTTTTCTCTTTCACATATTCTAAAAATATGCTCTTTTATAAAGTTTCATTTTTTTTTTGATATGACAATTCAAATACCAAATGACTGTTAAAATTTAACAAATATTAGCTTATAATTCTGTTATTCACACATTCTTTGCTTAATACCTTTCACAGCGATCAACAAGATAAAATTGCAAGGCGTACACGGCAGATAATTAATTTTCGTTTGCTTGAGTTATGCTATTAGTTTTAAATACTTTTGTTTAATCTGTTTGATAAGTATTTCCTTGTAATAAATTAACATTGTAAACAAAAAGAAATGTTGTAAAAAATGATGTCTTAACATCTTTAGGAGACAGCGATGACAAACCTCTACAATATTTTATTTCATCTGATTTCCAGGGTCGTGAAAACTAATGACAAACAGAAATAATAAAATATGTTAAGTGTAATAGCTTTAAAAAGACAGAGTAATGTTTAAATACTAATAACAACTATTTTTCTGATTACAATTCCCCAATATGCAGCTATTTATCAAGTTATCTTAGTAAAAGCAAGCGTTTTTGAAATTTTTAACACGTATGTCGGCCATTTTGGATTTTTCCCGCCATATTGGATTTTAAAAAATGGGTCCCATGCTTAATTTTTCTTACATATATCAAAGTTCATTTGTACCAAGTTTGGTGCTTTTCCCATTTTCTGAAGTATTTTTTCACAAATTGACTGGACTATGTGGAGTATTCATGTTTATAACGCCAAACCAAGGCTATGAGTCAATTTATCTATTTATCGTGAAATATGAACGATATTAATAATAATATGCTTGAATGCATGCATCATTAGTTGATTGAAAATAATGGAACCTTTTCTTTTTGAATCAACAAAATAACATAGTTCCTCGAATTAACTAAGTAGTCGATTTAATACAACGATATCAAGACGTAGAAACGGAGCTCTTTTGTGTGTGTGTGTGTGTGTGTGTGCGCGCGTGCGCGCGTGTGTGTGTTCGAGTTTAGTTTAAATTGAAACGGTATGAATTAATGACATCCTTTGTTTGTGTAAGAAATTGTTACAAATGCATATTTACTTGCCTAAATTTGCATATTTATACATCTTTAAATTTTCCCTTAAAAAAGAAACAACATTTCATTCATTTTTCAGTTAAAAGAATCTTATAATATTTTACAGGGAGTAAGCTAGATTGATAATTCAAAATGGGATTATGAGACTGAATGTTTCTGTCCTTTGACAACAACTGATATAATTGCAATATGTTGATTTGATCGAGTCCAACACATCGCCTTTAAACCTTATGCGAGTATTTGAAATTTAACAGATATTTAAGTTTACCTCTTTTATTGTCATAATGGCCATCCAAGTTTTAATGATCAGTGAACAGGAAAAAAACATTAAAAAATTGACATTTTGCCATAATTGTGTTCAATTTTATATTTTACTATGAAATGATAATCAACAAGCAATTATCATAATATTGCAAGCAATCCATAAGTCCCCTACCGGTAAGAGCCCAAGCAACATTCTGAAGGGCCATTGGCCATTCACTTATGTTCCTATTTTAAGTAAATTTGTTGAAAAAGTTCTTTAAAAGTGATCACAGAAAACAGTTTTTATGTACAGACAGCCGGACTGAAGGACACTCTAAAGTTATTTTTTAAACATCCCTGTTATCAAAATATAACATTTTTAAAATCCTATCATGATTAAAGAAGTTGGAGTAAAAATTACCAATTTCTAAAAAAAAAAGTCTAAGTTCAAAAGGGGCATAATTCTGGAAATGGTCTTGCTAGAGTATTGAACACTCACAAATGTTGGGTGATAATAAGAAACATTTATATGAAGTTTGAAGTAGATACATTCAGAAAAAGAAGTTATTAAAAAAAAAACAATGTTTTTTTCATGAAAATTTTAAGTTCAAGGGAGGTAATTCTGATAAATTTTGTGCTAGAGTTGTAAACCTTGTCACATATGATGTGGTTGATGACAAGCAACTTATATTTAAAGTTTGAAGAAAATACCTTAAGAAATAAAGAACTGAAAGTGAAAAAACTTAAAAACTAGGATCAGAAATCTTGAATTTCAGTCTATTTGTTGCCATAGCAACCAGAATTTTCAACATAGGAAGATAAGGAAAAGATGTGCATAATTTCCATACTGCCATCTACCCATATGTCAAGTTTCATAAACATATTTTCAGTACTTTTTGTGTTATCACTGGATCCAGGTTATGTGTAAAATTTGCCATATTTTCAGTCTATTTGTTGCCATAGCAACCAGAATTTTCAACATAGGAAGAAAAGAAAAAGACGCGCACAATCTCCATACTGCCATCTATCCATATATCAAGTTTCATAAAAATATCTTCAGTACTTTTTGCGTTATCGCGGGATCCAGGTTATGTGTAAAATTTGCCATATTTTCAGTCTATTTGTTGCCATAGCAACCAGAATTTTCAACATAGGAAGAAAAGAAAAAGACGTGCATAATCTCCATACTGCCATCTATCCATATATCAAGTTTCATTAAAATATTTTCAGTACTTTTTGCGTTATCGCGGGATCCAGTTTTGTGGACGGACGGACTGACGGACGGACAGACGGACGGACGGACAGACGGACAGACGGACGGAGGGTAAACCTAAAGTCCCCTCCGGTAAACCGGTAGGGGACTAATAATCCACGTAACTAAGGGAAATGTCTGTAAATAAAGAATGTTTTGGTAACGTTTAATTTTTAAAAGATTGGGACAATCTTTTTTAATTTAGTCGTGTTTATATCTTAATTTAAAGGGAGAAAACAGATAAGAATAAAATCAATACAAATGTAATCGATCATCAATCTTTTAAAATGTTTTAACGTACTTTCCTGAAAGATAAATAAAACACAAATTTGTCTTCATTCATTGATAAAACTACATAAGAAAAGTAGTAGATTGATCGTTCAAAACCTCCGATCTTTAGATAGGACGACAGACTGATGTTTTATATCTGTAAAACAAATATAAACTGTCATCTTCCTCAAGATACTAAAGAGTTATCTACCCCTGAATTTTGACTTCCTGTTAAATGTTTTACTAGGTTTTTATTCAATAGCAGGAAATTATGAAGAAGTGTATACTCTTAATTTTCGTCAACGTTGTACTTTCATCAACACAAGGTATTATCTATTGATATTTTACAGTTTTATTGTAAAAAAAACTATGATTGTCCTTGACCATTTTGCAAGGTATGAATTACAGCAGTTGTTGCTGTTTTCTTTTAGAAAATTTTAGATAGCCTTTGGTAATAATATTGATAAATAAGGAACGATTTGATTGGATAGAAATAAAGTTTTCAAAATATTTTATTATTGGACAAGAAATAACGAATCTACGACGGTGACATGTCATTCTGAGTAAACAGGTTTACAGCCATTCTCCTATAATTGAAGCACTTTTTAATAATTCCTGTCTCCACTTTTAAAATCGTAGTAAAATGTACAGACGAGCTTAATCCTTTGTGACAAACATTTAAATAAGTACACTGGGATGTTCTCAGCAGCTTAACTTTAATTTTGTAGCGTGGATGCTCCTCTTTTGTCATTTGTGTTGAATTGAAAAGCTATAGTAACTGCAAAAAAGCGCTGTCGCTTGACCAATAAAAGTTTGAGATTGGTGAAAAAAACAATCCATTTCTATGTTTTCCAACAAGTTTTTGCCTAAATTCAATACGGTATTGATAATAGATTAAGAATTACATAAGATTTTCGAGACAGAGACGCTTATTTTCCATGATTTTCTTTAAATGCTGCCGTCGCCAAAATGCAACTATGGTACCGTAACGATTCTAAACTGGAATGAAACGATCTTGAGATGTGTTATATTCTTTTAAATTTGTACTCAAAACAATATCAAAAGACTATATTTGGAATAAAATTGATAAATTAGACTCCTGCAATGATACATTTAAACACAAACCGTTTTATTGTAAATAATTCAAATGTCGCGTTTAAAATGCTATGCCTCCGTAACGGGCGTATACTTTTAAATATACATTATACTAATCAAATAAAAATTTTAAAATATTGTTTTGTATTTTTTTAAATGAAAAACACCAAAATGAGATGTCGTTTGCACAAAAATGTGATAACTCTGACCCGTAGAAGTCTAATTTCACTATGTATCCATAACGGCTATTTTCCGTAACAAAACGAGCATCCGAATTTCGGTACAGTATACGGTTCAATTGACGGTGTGACGTTTTTGCCCATCACCTCTCCCAATGATACGTAACTATGAGGTATGCATGCAACACCTTTATTGACTTTTATGATACAATTAGGCAACTGGAGGTATTTGGCAATCACTGTACTTTATTTTGGCAACCACTGTTTTTTATTTTATAACGATGTTTTCACAATTATGTTACTTACACGAGAAATTTTACTGATACAATCGATTGCAAGCTTTATTTTCAGCAAACCACAGAGTCAAAAGTAGCAAGTTGATGCTATTTATATTTTTTTTACCTGTTTGAAACATTTGTTACGGAACATAGTTAATTATTTTGAGATCATAATCTGATATCATATATGTACTTTATCCATAGTTATTTAACAATTTAAAATGAATGATTGGTTTCAAACATGGAACACATATTTCGATGAAAAAGAAGTGCACAGTTTATCAAATAGTCAAAGGCAATTTGTTACGGAAGCATAGTCTTCTATCAACTTTTTTCAGCACCATAATTCATTTATTAAGTTTGTTTATAAAAACTGCTCCAGTGTGTTTTTTCATTATAAAGATATATGAAAATGGTGTCCAATATTAACTGGAAGTCTAACATGATTTGTATTGTGTTGTAAGGTTGCATTTTTCCGTTACGGAACATATCAAATTTGTTACGGAACATAGCATTCATAAATGCTATGTTTGAATATGATTTTTTATGTTTTTTACTATTTATAAAATACCAAAATTGTATCATTATGTCACTTACATTATCTAAAAGTTTTAGAATTACAATTATCATGCAAAAAGTAATATGACAAGTGATATTAATGTAATAATGATAAAAATGATGATTATCATGTACTTGTTTCAATTAATAATAATCATGATAAAAATTATTTTAATGATGTTCATGTATCAAGGTTAATAAATTTATAATAAGCAACGATTTTCTATTTTAGAATTGTGCTTTTAAAAACAGAAATACAGGAGACAAAGCATAGAGGGGAAAACAACAAATCATTTAAAAGAGAAAGAAAGCAGAAAAAAGTATGTTCCAATTCAAAAAAGAAAAAGCACGGGTGAAGAAAATGTAGAGAGAACTACATGAAACATTATAACATTACAACAAATTTGTGTAAATAAGGCAGAAAGAAAGTAAATAAAAGTGAAAAAAAGAATTCTTGTTCATTTTCAGTGAAAAACATAATATTTTATTTTCCATAACATATGTTCCGTAACAGATATCTTTTCCTGCACTACTCACTAAATTAAACTATTGATGTTATTTTTAATTGATACAGTGTTTTATGATTGATGTTGTTTGTGAAGATACAACATTTTAATTGTTTAAGTAATTTTAAAGAGTGAAAATATTGAGTTATAAATCCTATGTTTTATAATTTTTCACCTATGTTCCATAATAGATCATAAGGTCTGTTTGATGATCATTTGTGCAGCCAAGTCTTTTTGGTAATGTTACACCGATTAAAAGTCATGCTTGATTTGTTTTCTGCATCTATTTTAGATATAATTCGATAACTTTTATGACAGTATTTGTTTGTGCATTGTATCGGAACAATGTCAATCTTAAGTTACGAAAATATTTGCTTAAACAAGCTTTTCAAATACGAAGTATACAAGTTTCAGAATAAGATATGGCATAAAATATTTTTGCTAAAGGTAACCATTGGTTTTCAACTTTACAATGCATATTCTTTTGGATTATTTAATTAAAAATGTTAGTAAAACAATACCTCCAAAGTAATTCCTATGGTATATATATGTTCCGTAACAATGTAATTCAGTAACTAACTTCAAATGCTTTCAGTATACAAACGGAGCGAATGGTGTGAGTTAAACTTTCACACAATCTGTCCAAGGTATTGAACATTAAAAGTAAATCATAGAAAACGTTGTTTACGAAAGTCAGATTTTTCATTTTTTGTGAACCAAAAGTGCTTCAATTATGGGAGAATGGCTGGTTTAACAGTTGTTTACTTGTCCAATATTGAATTATTTAGTATTGTACTCAACAATGTATAATAACCTTGTAATATTTTACATAATAATTATCATGTTATATAACAATGTTATTTTGACATCGGCGCCATTTTTTCAAACCTTTGGAGTTAATGTGATAAAAGAGCCCACGAAGCACCAATAACTTATTTCATGTATTTTTTAAAATACTGTACGCACTCGAAGACATGTGATAAAATGATTAGATACTAGGTCTCTCCAAAAGATGTTATGCTAGATCTATTTAACTTATCAAATCGGATATATTCTTGAAACATCAAAAATATGACAAACTCTACAGTTTAAAATTAATTCCGTAGTCAAGTTTTGCAACGCTGATAGTGATCTACTTTTCAAAAGAAAAAATGATAACTTTTTATAGCTTTTCGATACAGACCTGTGATTTCTCAAAAGTTAAGACAGAGTAATATTACTATTTGTTACATGACGCATATCTAACAAATGAAACGCGAAAATCAATTATTTATAATGTAAAAATATATAACGAAAAAATATATACCAACATTCTTACAATCATCCAAGAAAATGTCAAGAGCCTTTCAGAGATTCACATTTTAACCATTCACAACCATTAACAACTCGTTTGATAAAAAACTACAGCATCTAAGAACGTATGTAGGGTCGTATATACAAAATGTATATCTATTTTCTTTATATGTGACTTCTTTTTGCACAAAAACAATTAGACCTTGGTCTTGCTGATGTTTCCTGTAACAAGAATCTTCTAACATGGCAACAAGCGGTCAAAGAGTGTGTAGTGAACGGAAGAGAACTTATTTCATTTGAGACGGGTCTAGGTAAAAAACTAGAGGAACTTGATTTAAAATCTGATGTGGATATATGGACAGCCGATTACCTTACAAGTTCGAACTCAGGTAATGAATGTTCATGTTATGTACATGTATATATGTTTTGTTTTTATTTTCTTATTGAATTAATACTACACTCATATCATAACTGTTTTAAACAATACTCTTTTTGATCCAGATTCTGAACGCTTGTCCTACCATTGGACCTCAAGTTTGATTGGGTCTCATTAAGAATATAACAAGGAAAATAAAACAACGAGGTGAAGACCGTGCAGATTTGTTCAGATACCGCATAGCATTCGACACCCGTTAAAACATGTTAAAGGAAGCCTTTGGAATGAATTTATATTTTATGAGGACCTTTTTTCTGGACTAGTATGTATATTAATTAAAGATGTGTATCTATTGAACTTAACATCCCTTCCTGTATTGATAGATTTGTGGATTTCAGGTGACAGGTTCTGCGGATTTAGATATCTCAACAGCACATTAATGTTTGAATACCCGAAAGAGATTTATGGTAATTGCAACGAAAGTAGAACCTACCTAAGGATACAGGAAACAGGTTAAAGTTATTATTAATGTTATACAAATTTTTATTTCACTTTCTTATACCGTATTCAAACAAAAATTTCAAAAGACACATAATTAAATATACCGTATACAAATAGAAAAGGAATACAATAATTAAGATAACGCAAACCAGGCGAGGTAAATATTTTATCTCTATTGACATATATTATACCTTACATTCTTAACATCGTTCTTGCTAATGTTAATAAGGTTGCTTCATATATTAGATAAAGTCAACCGGTTTTAAAATATGAAATAAATAATTAATAGGGGAGGCAGACGTCTTCAACAGTCCTCGAGAAATTGTCGGCTGCCACGGTAGAATCACAACGTCAATCCCGGGATTTTTAAGTTCAGCCGTTAAGCCTGGTTACTATTGGACTAGCGAGATTCTGAATGGGAGATTGGGTAACGATTACACTCATTCATATACATGTAAAAGCTTCATTATGTATTCTGAAGTTACAATGCAAATCTTCATGATTATTTGATGTTTTATCGGACATGTTCGATGAAAAATGCCTCATATTGTCTTTCCTCAATTGTTATAAGAGTTTTAATGATTTCTATGGCGTCGAAAATTTTCAAGGACGTTTTGAATTGAAGTGAATTGGTCCACAGTGGAAGGTCAATAATACTATAAATGATTATAATAACAGTATTTAGTTTCATTATTTAGTTTGTGAACTACACATGGTTGTTGTTAGTAAATGTAAGATACATGGTCCGATATAACGTACCTATATATAACAGATAATAAACTGTTCTAGAACAAAATATTAATTGTATCTTTCAAGCATATCTAAAATGATACATTTCTTTTGTTTCCATCAATAGTTGAAATAATTATGGAAAATATACCAATTGTAGACCATCTTCCAATCCAATATCCCTGAGTTTTTGGTTTAAATGAAATCCAACAACTTACTCATAAAACACTAGTATATTTCAAGTTTTTTCTTCTTTAACTATATACAGGAGGTGTGATACATTTGTAAATTAAACGTGCCTATGTTTATAAAGGCGTTGATAATAAAAAAAAAATGGTTATAAAAATATATTTAAGTAAATGTTGAATTCATATAGGCCTTCAGATATAATATTTCCACCATCATCAGGCATCTCTTTTTCCATTTACATTCCAGTGCAAGGGACTGAGGGTACATCAGTGGTATTATGTGGCGCTTACAAAAGTTCCATTGGAAGATATTATGCAGAATGTACCGGGAAACGTGTTTCGTTATGTAGCATAAACGGTAAGTCTGTATGATCAGAGATATTATTAGTTTGAAGATATTGTTGACAGGTTATATGACCCTTTATTATACTGCACATTTATAACGTCTTTTTTAATTGGATAATCGTTACGTTTATAAAACCTATATACACTCGATTCTTGACGGAACTTTATTCTTTTCTCTAATAAAGTGCGTTTTCAGTTTTATGAATTGTTTTTTTTAGATTATTGAAAAGTTACATGATCGTATATAAATTTGCAATATAACCGTTTATATAGGTCCATATAAGCTGTCAAAATTTTTTATAACTATTAATAGTATAAACATTGTTTGCATAAATATTCCGATCAGCTTCGCGAGAGTTATATTGCAAATTACCGTTCATCTACTGCTATCATCAGGAATCTTAAAAAACGAATTTGAGATTCAGCGAACTTCCTTTATATTAGAGCAAAATGTGTGCCTATAGTTCCTATAAACTTCAGGAGTATCTTATGAAAAGTGACGTTACAAACATGCAACGTGCATCATTATAAAAATGATGATATAGTATCCCTCAAATGATATTCAAATACATGTGTATGTTGAATGCAAGCATCAACAAAAACTGAATTATATACAGGAATAATAAAATGAACAAATTATTTTTATTTATTTTTTATCTCATATTTATTTACAGGCATAAAATGTGACATAAGTATGACCTACATAATTAACAAATAATTAGACAATGATATAATGATAATTAATTTTTTGACTACAAAATAACATATCTAACTTTCTATACTCTGCAGGCTCAGATAGTTGGATACTGCCCAGAAATAAACACTGTTTTGGTTGTGAGTATTTCTAACGATAGTGATGAAAAGTTGTTAGAATCACAAATTATACATTCATTTCTCTCCTCTCACAAAACTTTGTCCAAGAAATCCACAGCGGCCATCTTGGAATTTAAAAAAAAAGTGGATCCGAGGCTAAAAATAAAATACATGTTCTTTCAATCATGCAGAGTTTCATGCTGTTCACAGAAGGTGCCCAGTTATTTTACACATTTCGTGGACTATAAATAATTCAGTTGTCAATGAGATGTTGCAAAAAAAAATGTATTTTGATTGTCACAAAATCAATCTGTTATAGTAACCAAAATAAGTGAGCAAAATAACTAAGGCGTAATTTCCGGTTATCTGTAACAGAAATACTTGCTAAATGTACGAGGATGTTATCTACTAAAAAGATATATAATATCGAAGGAAAAAAAACAGACACGTATACTGATGAAATGGTATGTATCTTTGATTGAGTCGCGACTGGTTTCACAGGGCGGGAGGTGCGTGCGTGCGCGCGCGCGCGTGTGTGTGCGTATGCGTGTGGTTCAGTTGACAAATACATTGTCTTCCAAATATATAATGTCCATAAGAAAGTCTTATCACATTGAACTTGATTTTGTTAAGAATATTATATTATTTTATTATTGTGAAAGATTGATATTATATAATATTATATTATCTTTTAGATGAAAGTGCCACACCATTTACTGATACTGACACTTCTAAAAACGTCAATTCAGGTACTGATATGCATTCATGATATTTGTATTAATTAGAGTAAGTACTTTCCATGTTTGATAATCTTTCGTAGGATATATAAATGAATATATAAAATGGCAAAAATTTATGTTCTACTTGTAAAATTGATTGTACAGAGCCTTAGTTATTCTACAATGAATTTATATCTTTAAATAGAGGCCAATTTCAATCATATTTTAAGACACTATTGTAATAATTATATAAATACAATATCAATTATGTTTTAAGACAATATTATAATAATACATACATTGTATATACGTATATATAGTCAAAAACAATTATATTTTAAGAAAGATTGTAATATATAAGTCAAAATCAATTCTATTTTAAGACAAAATTGTGATACATATAGTCAATATCAATTCATTTTAAGACAATGTTGTAATATATAAGTCAATGTTATTACATTTTAGGGCGATATTGAAATATCAAAATATTGTGAGCATAGACATTATTTCAATGTCTTTTAAAATATTAAGCTTCATTATATAGCGTATAAATATTGTAATATATAAGTAAATTGCAATTTTATTTTAAGAAATATTGTAATATTTTTTTAGTCAATATCAATTATATTTTAAGATATTAATTCAAATTGCTACCAGTATTGTATAAAGTACGTTATTCCTTATTTGCAGGTACAATAACGGCGATAATTGTAATACCAGTTGCAGCATCCGTCGTAATAATACCTGGAATATGTGTAGTCATTCTTTTAAGAAAAAGGTTAGAAATATTATTTTTATATTGCAGATGTTTTTTTATCTTTAATGTCTTCGGGAAACATGTGTCCATATATAGCAAATTGTTGAAATTCAATAGTAAATTACAACATTGAAATAAAAAGGCAGTTAATTTGAAAATTATAGATCATCACAATTTAAAGCAAATTTAACTAAAAAAATCATTCTCGAAGAAACAAATAGTTATTATAATAGTTATCAAATGTTAATTAGTTGGAAATGTTTTTTTCGTTTCAGACTTTCGGAAAAACAAAGTCAAAGGCCTGATAAACCAATGAATGTTTCTAACTTGACAACAGTTTCTGAACAAAATGATTATGACTTCCTAGAGCAAAGGCAATTAGACGAACACGAGTATTGCTCTGCAAAACAGGTCCACAATGATCGTGTTGGAATGAATATATATGTCAAGGACGTTTCTTTTACAAAGAACAATTAAAACAATAAGAATGAAGAACTTTTTGTTTAAGAATATTTATTTATAAACAGACTTTGTTGGACAATACACTTAAGCAATTAGATTATTCATAAATTAAATAAGCGTTAATTTGTTCACTTGAAGTGTTTCAAAGAGTTTGCAAGGTTTACAAGCAGGAAGAGAACTTTAGAGAAGATGCGTAACATCTTAGTATATTTTGTTTATTTTCATATAATTTTAATGTGTAAATCATCCCTACTCTATCCATTGGAAAAATAAACCTGCTAACTTGCCTTATCATATTTCTTTAAAAGAAGATTATTTTCTGTAATAAACAATTCAGAAACTTATTTATTTCCTTACTGAAATCGGTTCATTACAGTACACAAAAAAATCTAAAAATTCGTTGTTTTTTTCAAGTAGCAATAGATAAATTTGCAAATTTCAAGACACAACCTATAAAATTTGATAAAGAAACGAAAATAAATTCCTTATGTATTGATATTCAATGTGATACACAATCGTGGTTGTTACATTTTAACATTGTTAAAAAACCCTTTAACACAATGATTCATGTAACAAATATAATCATAGAGTCCCATTGTAAAACATTCTTCAGCAATGCGTTATCATTTTGGACTTGAGTACTTCCTTGTCGATTCTCTTTTTTATTTCCTGTTGATTCAGATGACTGATGCGATTTGACGTGCTTGACGATCAAAACATTTATTTAATATAGGCTAAGTCGTGAATAATTTATACCTTAAACTATTTTTGTTAGATGATTTTTGATAGTCACTTTTAATATCATCATTTCAATATTTCATCTGTTTAACATAATTTTAATAATTCTGCTTACAAATATCAACGTTAACATGATATTTACATGTATAATGTGTACTGTCTAAAATATTGCCTTTCAATGATTAATTACAGATGCATAAAATTTAACAAGTAACTTTATATTTCAAAAAATTAAGAAAATAAAAAAAACATGTATGGAGTTGAATGTTACGAGTCTACGAGTTGCATTTTTTTGTCATTATCAAATAAATTATCGTGCTGCAATATCTAAATTTGACAGAATTTATGTTTAGATGTTTAATATCAATTATGACTTAAATGTGACTGTTTCTGTGGCCAGTCAGAATTAAGATACGGCTCAAATCAACAAACATTCATTTAAAGATATGTATCAAATGCTGTGTTAGATAAAACAAGTCAGATAACATATTGAAATGAAAATAAACTTCCTCTTTTGATACCATTGTTTTATGTTTTATTACACAATCTTTGCATCGGATAATAATGGAGGATGTTAGTTCTTTGATGAAAGTTGTTGTTTCCTCCACACAAGGTACAAAGATTGATTTTGATTATATTTCACAAGTATAGTTATCATTTTATATTGTTTTTACTCTTAATTAGATCTAGTATTTATCAATTACACAATTTACATCAGTATTGTGATGATTATGTCCCGGCATGATAATGGCAAGGACATAACGTGTTACCCTCTCTGTCTGTGCATGTATCTTTGCGTTTGTTCAAAAGCCGTGTCCCGTCCAAATTTTTGTCATGCATCAAGAGATTTTGAAACATTTTGGCACAAATGTTTAGGATGATGAGATAGTGTCAAAAGTCAATTTACTGGCCCAAAACTATGTCATCCATCAAGGGATTTGGAAACAAGTAGGGCACAAATGTTAAGCATGAAAAGACGGCGCGCCACGCGCAAAACCTAGACCATTACCTCAATGGTCAATGTCGCCTCTTTAAGTCCAAGGTCAGCATTTCGAAATGGATTTTTTCCGTCCTATATCTCTATCTTGCATCAAATATTTTAACTGATTATCTTGCATCAAGGGATTTCAAACATTGAGTGGAGCATGAAGATCAAGATCTCTATTTCAAATATTAAGGTCACACTTCGGGGTTAAAGGACAGTAGTTAGAAAATATTGTCCGTCCCATAAGTCTGTCATATATCAAAGGATTTTAAAACAATTTGTCACAAATGTGTGGCATGATGAATCTATGTGTTAGCGCAAGACCAAAACTCCTAGCTGCAAGCTCAAGGGATTTTAAAATTAGTTGTCAAGCATATCAAGATATTGTGGTATTCGTAGGACCTAGAACCCTATATCTAAGGTCAAGGTCACACTTGAAGGTCAGAGGAAGATTGAACACTTGTGACATATGACCTAAATGAAAGGAATGCAATCTATTATATCTAAAGAAGTGCTATGCTAACGTGACATTGTTTTTGCTGAATAAAAAACATGACCGACATTTCATTTCTATCATTATGAATTCTTGCCTAGTTTATTCCTTGCATTGAAACATGCCTTATTTACATTTTGTACTTGAAATTGTTGCTTTTGTAAATAAAAAGATCAGATCCAGTGAGTAAGATGCTGGTTTATTTACTGAAATTTTGCTAAATTACAAACAGATTTTCCTCCTGAGGTGTCTTGTGACATGGAGCTACTAACTTGGCAAGAAGCAATGGAAAATTGTCAAAATAAAAGTGGCCAGATGTTACGATAGGACAAAATATTGACAAACTCCATTTGAAGGGTGAACATGACTTATGGACAGCTGATTTTTTTAACACATTTGGATAATGGTAAGTGGTGGTCCTGTTACTGTATTTGATAGTGAATATGTGTTTTGTTTCATTTTATTAGCATTGTGAACATGCAATATAAAAACTCTACAATCTATATAATCGGCTTCCATCTACAAAAATATATTCTACATAATTAATCTTTATCCAAACTCATTTTTCACTAGCTTGTATGTATATCACCAGAACTGTTTATTGTATAATATTCCAGCAATGTTCTGTTTTTTTTTATAAAACAATTAGACATGATAGACATTTACTCATGAAATATTCTGATAAAGCGTATTTTCATAAAATAAAAATATTATATGCGTGCAGCTGGAAAAAACGAAAGATATAATTCTATTTTTTAGTTTTTGTTTAAATTTGTCATAATATCTTAGGATACGATTCATAGCTAAAGCATACCTGTTTTGACTGCACACATCTTTTAACTTATGGAGTTTTTTTTATTTTGTCAGGAGAGTTTACCATCATCTTTAGGTTTCTTTGATATCATACCTGTCATATTAGTTAATTATGGCATTGGTGCGTATAAATCACCATTTATTAAAATAACACATTGATGAGAATAGAAGAGTTAAAAAAAGACAAAATGTCAACAAAGTTCTAGTTAACTATGAATCAATGTGTTTCTGATTACTATTACTAGACAGACTCTCACAGGACGGACAATAAATAATTATTTTGGTAACTGATTATGACTCACAATTAAAACATAAAACAAAATAGAAATAAAAGAACAAAACTGAAAAAAGTTCAAAAGTCACGTATTTGCTTTATTTTCTTACTATATGAGATTATTTATTTCCTATCTATATCTTCTTAGTGTCAGACATATTATGTGGAGCCTATAAAAGTTCAATTGGAATGAATTATGCAAACTGTATGGAGAAACGTTAAGTAGAAAATACGGATTGTAAACAAGTTAGAACAAGTTATTTACACCTTAACTAATTTTCTAACACTTATGTCTGAAATTTCAATATCATTGAACATGATAAGGATATCATATCTTATGCACAATCTAATATCATTTAATTACAAATCATGTGGTATCAGATTTTTATCTTTAAATAAACTTTTTAAAAATCAAATGTCACCAGGATCGAATCCTTTCCAGTGATGCTGCATATGAAAATAACATGTAGACATAGTAATGACTGACAAACGACAATACCTTCTTTCGTCTCGTTATACTTTATTAGTTAAAACTGACACTCAATTATTCACTTTATGGTCAGTTTGGTCTGTTTCTTTTGCCAATAACTTGATGAGAACGGTCCGTATAAGTTTTGGTGAACTTATGAAAATGGTGTACCTATATTTTATATGTTGAAAAAAATATGACAATATTGTTGCTGTATTTTGGGTTAAACGAACGAATTTATAGTTGTTCATTAAAGATTTACTGATGTATAAATTTATTCGGATAAAGATATTATAATATTATGATATATTTAGAAATAAAATAAGAGACAAATGTATCCATGATTGGCAGAACGGAAAATGGGAAAGATATTGCAATTAGAAAACCAATTTTGCAGTAGGCTGAAACCGTCAATACAGATTGTTAAATATGGTTGCAAAAAATTATTGCAATAAATATTGTTTTGTTTATGTTGTCCAATTGAAAGAGTTATAAATAAATATTTTGAAAAATGTACATGACAAACTTTACACAAATCTAATTTACTAATGTCTTAAAAGAATAACGAAAGTATATTAAAGTTTGTCATATTTATAGCAAATGCTTTATCTGTACGTACAAATAAACTTGGTATTATAGATATTGTATATTACGTGTAAATATCATGATTGTATATTTATTATATGTATTTGTGCTCGCATTTATATTACATGTAACTCATTTGCCATTCTTATATCTTGTAAATGCTAATGCAAATAAACTTGGAGCTTTGTTTATCTGCAGGTTTGAGAAATGAGAATGTAGCGATGAATAAAACATGTTTTGTAGGTAAGTATTTGAAAATATTGATACCAGATTTCATTTCTGGGTTAAGTTTTCACTCCAAATGCATTATTTAGTTTTTCTTCCGACATTTCGTTTGATTTAATGGACTACTGACCTATAAATCGGATGAATAAATTCATTGAAATGTTAGGTAAGGTTTTATGTTTCAGTTTTGTACAACTTTTAACAAGCTCAAAATAAGTGTAAACTTACTATACATTCTTTACATGTTATATGGATGTATATAAACGGGTGTTTGAAATTTAACAATATATGCAAACAACGGTTTGTAAAAGACCATATAACATGTCAAAATTCTTCATACTAGATATAACGTTAAATCGACCTGTTATATGTCGTCGGAAATGGCAACGAAAATCAACTGACGTCATGGGACGAAAACTATGTAATTCATCCG